CTAAAACCTGATTTTTCTAAAGTGAAGCAATTGTTAAATGCCAGAACCTACAGATGTGCCTTCGCTACAATGATTTTTGGGAATGATAATTATTAGCCAAATTTATTCCTAACTTAACTACTATTACTGCACCATTAGACAGTTACTTGAGAAAAAGTCCTCTGGCAGGACTGAAAAGCATCAAAAAGCTTTCGAAACACTTAAAGAACTGATTGCAAAAGCACCCGTATTAAAATTCTATGATGTTAATAAGGATGTAACTCTTTCAGTAGATGCAAGTTCTGAAGGATTAGGTGTTTTACTAAAAACCAAACCATGCTTATGCTTCCAGAGCTCTAACAAAAAATCAGAAAAATTATGCTCAGATAGAAAAAGAGGCTTTAGCTATTACTTTGGATGTTCTAAATTTCATCAATATATATGGCAAACGTAAGTTGAAACTGATCATCGACCATTAAAAGCATAACTAAGAAACCTCTTTTAAAGCACAACTAAGAAACTTTTTAAAGCACCACAGCGATTGCAAAGAATGCTGTTAATTTACAGAAATGATCTAGATGTACGAACAAAAAGGGGGAACACTTATTAATAGCAGACACTTTGAGTAGAGCATATTTGAATACAACAGAAGAAGATATGATGAAGATACAGAAATTTGTACACTGATTCCAGCATCTGATGACAAAATTATGAATTAAGAAAGAAGTGAATGTGATGCTACACTACAGTGCTTAAAGAAATATATCTGAGAGGCTGCCAGAAAGGAACATCAGGTAGAACTCAAGTCAAAAGTATTTGGGACTAAGAGATGAGTTGACAATGGAAAATGATTTATTTTCAAAGGAGGAAGGGTAATTATTCCTTTATCTATGCAAAAGGAAATGTTAAATTTAATTCATGAGGTCATTTTGTATAGAAAATGTAAGAAAAGAGCTAGAGATGTTTTGTTTGGCCATTTATGAACAAGCAGATAGAAGAAAAATTCAAAATGTTCTATATGTAATGAATACCAGAACAAAAACATAAGAGACCTATGATACCACATGAAATTCCCAATTTACCTTGGTATAAAGTTGCGACGATTTATTTGAGATTAACAAAGATGTATATTTATTAATTGTAGATTACTATTCCAACTTTTTTGAAATTTTGCAAACTACCGGATACTCGAAGTCAGACAGTGATCAGTTACATGAAATCTCTTTTGCAAGATACGGTATACCATTGATAGTGATATCTGATAATGGACCTCAGTTGCAAGTAAAGAATTTTCAGAATTTGAAAAGAAATACCAATTTAAAACATATAACAAGCAGTCCATACCATCCACAGTCGAACGGATAGCAGAGCGTTCAGTACAAACGGCGAAGAAATTGTTAAAGAAAGCTCAAGCAGATCATGCTGATCCTTATTTAGCATTTGTTAGCTCAAGGAACACTCCAACTAATGAGATGCTAGGATCGCCAGCTCAACGACTTATGAGTAGAAGAACAAGAACGATTCTTCCTACATCTGAAGAATTACTTAAACCTCAAGTTGTGCGAAATGTAAAAGAAAAAATCAACCAAGAAAGAACTAAACAGAAGATATTATGATCGTCATACAAAAAACATTACCATTGCTAAATAAAGGAGATTGTGTTCGGGTATATCAAGATAATCGCTGGAAACCAGCAGTTGTAGAAGAAGTGCATAAGACGCCTAGATCATATATACTTAGATCAGGTGGATCAGTATTGAGAAGAAATAGAAAAGATATAGAGGAAAACAGTTCAGCTGTTGAATGAGAATATCAGAGGAATAGAACAAGGAGTTAACGCACAGAAAACAGATGTAAAAGGATATGATTCCAAATATTGTCAAGGGCAAATTTTAGAAGATCAACTACCAAAATTCTGCTAACTCAGAAACAAGGGATGGGTGAGCAAAGAACAAGAAAGTGGGAGACTGATTAGAAAGCCAGCCAGGTATTTAGACTGATTTTGGACGGTTTAAAAAAAAAAAAAAATTGCACTCTTTAAAAAAAAAGATGTAAATATAATTGTAAATGTAACATTTATATTTAGTAACTTGTAATTGGCAACACTTTGGATAGACATATAAAAATAGAACTATGCTGGTATTGCAGTGCTCTGTGATTATACATTCTAAGATTGTAAATAAATAGTTTCTAAAAATTAAAAGTGTACCCTCATAATTTTATAAATAGGACTGAATGCTGTATGTGTTTGTTTTAGTATCAAAAAAGAAATATGTTTATATAATAACTTAAATGTTACATTTCATTTAGCATATTCAGTTTAACCATTCTATGAATAAAAAAATAGAGTTATCAGTTTAGTTGTGGAAAAATATTATTCATACACAGATAAATACACTCATAAATACATTATGCAGTTTATCTTAACGTCATTTGACTGTCATCGTACTTTCTGTGAACACATGGAAAAAAGGTGAATGTTTATTTATGACCTGTGTACAATATCCCCACAGACATAATGATTACATTCGTAGATGCTAGCAAAATATAATTCTGCAGGTAAATTTATATAATTAAATGCAAAAGTCAAAATTGGTACTAAATTTTAAACACTACATTCAACAATATCTTAGTAAACATGAATCTTAATTTTATAAATGAAATTTTGTATGAAATATATCATGGTGCACTGTATAGTAATGGAATGCAAATTTTAAAACTATAATAAATAAAATATTTGCTTAAGTTATATTATTCATTCATAATACAAATCATAACAAATTATAAGTACAGATAGAAAATGAAATTTTATATTTTACAAGAATTTTAGCATATTTGTTTTTTAAACGTTTCTATATTCTTAAATCATACATTTCCTAAATTTTGATTGCATTTAAATGCATGCTGTGTGTATTACTCTGTTTTCAAATAATATGAAAGAAAAAAGCCTTAATAATTAGAAAATTAATATTGCTGAAGGAACTGCTTTACTATCTTTGCAAAATTACTGTAACTAAATTATCCAGAACTGATAGCCTTAAGTATAATAATACAACTTAATTTGCTCGCCAAATGAATTGTGGACTTCTAATATGTTGCTTTCTGTACTCTGCGGTGTTGTTAGTCCTTCTTATTGCTTACATGTACCCCGTGTATTAATGATATTGTATTTCTGGCATGTACCATATTAACAGTACAATAGGCTCAAATTCTAAGTAATTGACAAGGCCCATCAGCTGAACACTGGTGGTTTGACTTCAATTCCTGGAGAAAAGGCTGGTTGCATGGCCATTTTTCCATGTGTAACACGAGTTAGTCAATGCAGTGAGCTACATACACATAATTTAAAACTATTTAAGCATATTTATATGCATCTGTCACAATTCACAACAATATTCAAAACCGTTGGCATTTAAATACACCTAATAAAATGCATAGAGGTTTCTATATATATTAATGAATAAATTAATTTAAGTAACCCGAAAATTCAAAATAACTTGCATCAAATCAAAAAACACTATAAGTTTCTATACCTATGAAATAATACATTTTGCTGATTACTTTTTATTTTGCCTGCATTATTGGTGCATAATGCAATCGCGCAGTGCGTACCAACCATTATACTACATAAATTTAATTATTTTGAGAGAGAAAAAAAAAAAAAAAAAAAAAGAAGAAGAAACCGAATGAGTTTCCACAGTCGCGCACAAGCTTACATTCCAAGGAGGTTAGAATAGAAGGAGGGAGGGTTCGCAGTTTCCTCCACTATCGGGGAATGAAACTCCGCCGAACAAGCGGCGTCCATGTTTGTGACTTCAAAACATTGCATTACGGCAGTGATATGTACGTGTTTCTAAGCTGTTCCGTGCATTTATTTCCAGTAAAAATATTGTTAAATTTATAATGAAATCCCTCGCATTGGTTGAATTTTTGTTTTAAATTAATAAAGATGATATCCATAATTTAACTGTACAGCAAATTATTAAGAAATAGTTCGAAATCTAAATGCATGCGCATAACTTAAAGCCTTTAAAAAATGATGTTTCTGCATATTTCACGTATTTGCTTAGGTTAGAAAATAAATCTTAATAAAATAAAACAGATTTATGTGAATTCATTGATTTCAGTTTATGCGCATTTCATATTTATTAATCTCAAAGAAACTGCCTTTAAGTTTTACAGAAATACATCTATATAAGTGTTTGGATACATCTTTCCACATGTTCAATTGTGTAAATATTTTACTTAATTTTATCACTATACTGCCCAGAAATTTGTAAGTTTATGCAAAAAATTTTTAACAACAGAACAGTTTATCTTAACTTAAAAAATGAATAATAATTAATATATAAAGAAAAGCATTGCTTTATTTAACACCTTTACAATTAATAAAATAGTAACAATTGATTTCTTACTTTTCATGAAGTTATAAAACGAATTAACTAAAACGTTCCAATTATACAATTTAAATCCTACCATATAGCATTGTATCTTAAGGAACGAAGATACCAGCTATAAACCGAAATATTAAAATGTATTTAATATTTTGATTATAAGTTATATTAAATAACCTATTTTAAGTCCTTTTTTTTTCACATCTGGAAAGAAAACCATGACATTGTGATATTTTTTGACATAGTTGTCATATACATAAAAAACGAAAATTAATACTTACGTGTGAAAAATAATGCCCGGAATTTTTTTCGAGAATCTATTTGTGCATCCATATGCAATACAAGCTGACATGCTTCAAAAAGAAAAGAAAAAAATGTTCACGGTGATAACAGGAAGATGGCCGCGAAGCTTGACCGTTTGATTTGAACCTTCCCTCCTTCTATTCTAACCTCCTTGTTACATTCAATGCAAAAATCTATGTTGATCTGAGGAGAGAAAACTTCAGTGACGTCACAGCCAATAGACAGCGAGAACGTATTTTCGTTTGTTTACCCTAACCTGTTCTTTCTACGGACCTTGGTGTAGACGGGCCGTTTATCAGTCAAGTATTTACATTTTCGCCAGCGGGCAAAAAGACGCAAGTTAAATTCAAAACACTGAGGTTAAGTTCGTGAATGTGCACTGTTGTTAAGCGTTGTTGCATTTAATAGTTTTTGTAAATGGAGTGGACCCCCAACAAAGATACATACCTTAAACCTCTGAAAGACCCTGTATTAGCAGAATCAGGTTTTGAACGAGTTAAAAGGATGTATAAGCCAAAGTAGGTATCAAACTGCAACAAGAAATAGAAATAGAATTATGGATTAGATATTTACCAAAATAAAAGGAGGCTCTGATTTTTTTTTTGAAGTGACACATATTCCACGGACATTTTTTTTCTTTTATGTACGTCTGCTGAGCACCGGCTGAATGCAAATATTTCCATATTGTAAGGCTAGGAAGCACTTCCGCAGAGAACCCGGTAAATGTAAACATCGCCAACTTTGGCGATAATAGTTAAAACCTGGTAACCCAGCAGATTTATCCTATTCGCTTGTTCGAAGTTTGCACCCATTCCTCTTGCGTTCATTTTGTTGAATTATCACTATTGTTCGCATTTGCAGATTTATATTATTCTTCTCTTATTTATTATTATTTTTTCTGAATATTTTAACAATGAATAGATAGAAATATTTCGTAGATAGATGCCGGTTCTCTTCGGGATGAAAGGAAGAAATACGGCGGGGGGGTGAATGCTAATTGTAACACGGCTGTTCACGTTGTGTTCTTCATTATTAACAGCTCTAGAACCATGAGTAGAATCATGAGGTTTCCAACCTCTAAATAATGTTTCCATAGGCCGCAAAAATGTGCATGTGCATTTTAAATAAATAAATAATGCTTTTATTTTTATTATTAGTTATTGTCATCTAAAAATTATGAGAATAAGTCAATTTTCATGGCGTAAAATTTTAACAAATAATGTTGCTTTTCTAAAAATAACCTTTCAGAGGATGGCAGGTGTGACATAAATAGATGATAAATTGAAATCAAAAATATTATTGATTATCTAAGATGACGAATAGTTGATGCATCACCATGTCATCAAAATTAGCAAACCACTGCTGGTGTAAGGCATATATTGTTTTCTGTGTTAACTGGAATTTAAGACAATTTTTTTTTCGTTTATCGCGTTTAACCAGTTAATTTCAGTACATTAATACTAATTTATACTTTTAAATAAATATATCATGTTTAACTGGTTAGTTTTACATCTACATGCTTATTATCTGTGAATTTTTACTCCCACATGCTTAATACAGTCAAAAGTCGTTAATCCGGACTCGTCAGGACTTCGGCTATTCCGGATTATTGATTTTTCCGGATTATAGATCATCAGTTTAAATTTCATAAGATGGCATGCAGAAATTCTAAATTTAAAAATATGAACCGTAATTTAGGAAAATAAGAACAATTATGTCTAAAGGGTATCAAAATTTACAAAAAAAAAAAAAAAAAAAAAAGCCTAATATTTATTTGGTTGATCTTTACATTATGGTAATTGGCGATTTTTTGGCGAAAATTTGGCAACCAACTTCTACGCAACCCTCTATTTTTTTTTCCCCGCGCCATTTGCCTTCACGAGTAAAGACATGTTCTTTCTTCTTATCTGATGAACACTTCTTCCAACATCTACTACAGAATTACACTTATGCTAAAAATTTTATCAAACAAAATTGCTTAATCATGACAAATATTCACTGCAAAATTGGGAAAAAGTGCACAATACCATACTCCTTACGCGTTTTTCAAAATAACACATACACATAAACCATGTACACGCCGACTTATTTTACTTAAAAAAACATCCCAGAATTACATAAAAATGGCATTGCCGCACTCTTCACTACATCCATGTACACTGCTTTTTTCTCATAAATTAGAAAAATTTCACGAAAAATACATGACATTTTCTCAATCTTTAAACCGGTTAAAAAGAACATATATGAAATACCTGATCGCGAAAAAGTATTTACCCTTTACAAATATCAACATTTCCACATATAAAATAAATAAAAATATCCAAAAACTTTTACCTCTAAATCATCTATTACATTATACACGTCACAACGAATTCATACCGCAAGTATTACAAATACTTGTATCAAATATTTAAATTTTCCATGCACGTTATTTCAACTTAAACGTATACCAAATTCTACCAAACATAAAATTCCAAAATAACTATCATTTAAAATAATTAAACTCAAAAACACTACTAAATATAAATGAGCACATACAAAAATAAATAAAATACCTTACATTGCGTACTGCTCAGTTTATCAAAGTCCCAGGTAGTAACCTTATCGCCTCAAAATGTCGCCAAACTACCAGTACTATATTGTAAAGATCAACCCATTTATTTGGTTACTTATTAACATTTCTTTCAATGTAGTTGTTTAGTGCTTCATTTTATGTGATAATACTTTCTTTAATTCTATAAACAGACATAATTTCTTGTTCAGTTACAAAGTCCGCTGTTCAAGTCCGTAATTGCTGTGGAAATACCGACTAACTTGTCAGTCGAAATTTTTTTCGTTTTCACACCTCTCTGTCACATTCTTCATGCCTTTATCCATTTTGTAGCAATTCCCTTTGTTTGTTTGACATCGAAACATACTTTCGTTGTAGATCTTTTGGAAGTTCAGCATCGGAGATTCTTTGACATCTCGAAAGTTCAAGTTACTTTTATAAAATTGCTCTTACAGTCTGCAAAAAAGAATAAGTGGGATCCAATTCGAAGATTAAGGACAACGCAATCATTACATTAACTGAATAGATAATTTTAGCTTACACCGTCCGTATACTTAACGCGCAGGCGAAAATGTATTATGCACTTGCGCACACGCATATGCGCGTAGTCAAGGTCTTATGCGCACGCGTAAAACGTCTGTGCGCGTGTGCCAACGCGGCGCATGCGCAGAAAGTTTTTAGCTTTGAGGTCCGAATTAACGACTTTTGACTGTATATTGTTTTGTCGGCTAACTTGAATTTACATTAACAAAATATCACGTTTACGGCAAAGAATCTGTTTACAGTTCGGCTCGTCGTCGATGAACTGTGAGCTTGGCAAGTAAAACTGCAATGGCACCAACGGGTTCTCTGCGGATGAAAACCCTAAGGCTATTAAATTTCCTCATGAAAGTGCTTCTATGCTTTTAAAACATGCTAATTTTCGTACTTTGGATTTCCTTCCGCAAGCAAACCGTTGGCGAAAGTGCCATTTTTGTCTTCAAGCTCACCAACGGTAATGGTTTTAGCGGTATACGGTTAAATTTTGAAATCAAGCATCGTATAAGTATATAGATATTCGGAAGTATGGGTATTTGTTGTCAGAGATGTTTTACTCAAATAAATTTTATTGAACAGGAATAGAAAATTTGATGTGGTGCAGCAGCATTCTGATGCTGTAGTATTTAATTGTGAAGTTTATAGTAAAGAAACATTTCAAGTAGGAATTTATCGGGACCAGATTCAGAAATGTATGTATGTATGCGTTCATACTTGTGTAAATGTATACATGCATACATAAACACGTACGTTTGTATATACATACATTTCTGAGTCCGGTCCCAATAACAGAAGAGTGTCGAAAATACTTTTTAAAAATTGTTATTTGTATGGTATTTACTCATGTATTTTTGCTCCTCCTTCTATTAATTTAACCCCTTGAAAATTGAAGGGAAAAAGTATGTGGTGTATACTATTTCTTAAAAGATGGCTTAAAAGATAAGCCAAGCGCATTAAAAGGCACATGTAAAGACACATTATATTATGTTTTTCAAAGAACTTATCAATTTCAGCGATATTCTCTTTACGTATACAAAATAATTTTCTATACATAAATGCATTGTGCCATAAATCAGAAGTTCCCAGGTCATATGCTGAAAGAAAAAGGGAGGAATATGTGAGTAAATATGGCACTTATTTTCAAATTGCCACTTTAACAAGATTGTAGATTTAAGTATTTTTTCTAAATGATGACTATAAAAACATTATATTAAAAATAGCATTAGTAACAAAATTAGGTACTTTTTGCTATACCTGCACCCCCTTATCATAAAGTTGTAAACTTGCTAGCCACTCATTTTTTGTGAAGCTAATTTAAAAAAGGCAACAACCATTTTCAAAATGGCGTCGTACCAAAAATACTATGCAAAAGCAATCGGTCAATAAAATTTAAAAAGAAAGAAGCGTTGTTAATAAAACATTTACTTTCTCTTAAAAAAGTGCTATAGAACTGCACATGCATGCAACTTTGACATTGACACCAGCCAAAAATATGTATTGTTTTATATGCTTACTGGGTTCCCACATAACTATTTTGCCAACATAATGCTTTGCCTCCTAAATACTTTTTCCCAAGTGTGCAGATAATTAGAAATTATCCAAAATAATATATACAGGGCCTGAAAACGAAAGAAATATTAAGCTGTTTTTGAGTAAAAGTAATCTATTTTTTCATTCCATTTAAGCAAAAGCTGATTGAATAAAGAGTGAGAATGCATAATAGTTTGGTATTTACATATTATCTTATTAGCTGTTGGTAGAAATATCAGCAATGGTCACCAGTTGATAATTGTAATTGCAGATTTCTAAAGGACATGATCATCCGTAATTGGTGTTAAATCATTCCTCATGGCTACTTGAAGGATAATATGCATGTACCAATACTGTTTATAACATGCACATACACCTTTGAATTTAGCATGTCTCATTACAATGTTGTTATATTTATATACAGTCAAACGTCTTTAATCCAGCCTCGTCAGGACTTCGGCATTAGAAAATTGCAACCAGAAATTAGAAAACTGCAACCAGAAAACTATTTGATGTGCATTAGTGATACAGTCAAAAGTCGTTAATCCGGACTCGTCGGGACTTTGGCGATTACGGATTATCGATTTTTCTGGATTATAGATCATCAGTTTAAATTTCATAAGATGGCATGCAGAAATTCTAAAAATTAAAAAATATGAAACCGTAATTAGGAAATAAAGAACAATTATGATCTAAAGGGTATCAAAATTTACAAAAAAAAAAAAAAAAAAAAGCCTAATATTTATTTGTTTACTTTATTAAACATTTCTTTCAATGTAAGTTGTTTAAGTTGCTTCATTTTATGTGATAATACTTTCTCTTTAATTCTATAAACAGACATAATTTCTTGTTCAGTTACAAAGTTCCGCTGTTCAAGTCCCGTTAATTGCTGTGCCGAGGATACTGACTAACTTGTCAATCGAAATTTTTTCGTTTTCACTAACCTCTCTGTCACATTCTTCATATCTTTATCCATTTTTTGCAGCAATTCCACTTTTTGCTTGTTGGACATCGAAACATACTTTCGTTTTGTAGATCCTTTGGAAGTTCCAGCATCGGAAATTCTATTTGACATAATCGAAAGTTCAAGTTTACTTTTATAAAATTGCTCTTACAGTCTGCAAAAAATAATAAGCGCGATCCAATTCGAAGATTAAGCAACAACGCAATCATTAACATTAACTGAAATAGATAATTAAATAATTTTAACTTACACCGTCCGTTATACATTAAACGCGCAGGCGAAAACATATTCTGCACTTGCGCACACGCATATGCGCAGTAGTCAAGGTCTTATGTGCATGCGTAAAACGCGGCACATGCGCAGAAAGTTTTTAGCTTTGAGGTCTGGATTATAGATCATTCCGGATTTATGGGTGTCCGAATTAACGACTTTTGACTGTATTTATAATGACGAGGAATTTGATTTAAATCATATCAAAGACGGATTACATCGAGATGAAATACTACATTTAGTAAGGAATTATAAGCCGAATAAAATAAAATCATCTGCCCTGAAGATAAGTATAGTGCTAACAGATCAACTTCCAGTTCATTGCGTGCCGCAACGTTCCCCCCCTCCTCGCAGAGCAGTGTGAAATTTACAAACAGATTTCGGAATGGTTAGAGAAACAAAGGATATGCCTTTAACTATTTTTTGCAGCAATTCCTCTTTTTGTTTGATGGACATCGAAACATGCTTTTGCTTTGTAGATCCTTTGGCAGCTCCAGAATCGGAAACTCTTTTTGACATAATCGAAAGTTCAAGCTTACTTTTATAAAATTGCTCTAACAGTCTGCAAAAAATAATAAGCCGGATCCAATTAGAAATTAGAAGATTAAGGATCAACGCAATCTGCAACATTAACTGAAATAGATAATTTTAGCTTAGCTTTTACCGTCCATTATACATTCAATGTGCATGCGTCAAAATATTATGGGCATGCTTAAATGCATATGCACATGTGTAAATGCATTATGCGTTTACGCATGCGCAGGAAGTTTGTAGCTTTGAGGTACGGATTATAGATCATTCTGGATTATGGATGTCTGGATTAAAGACTTTTGACTGTACATCACTATACAAATAGTTTTCATAACAAATTTAATTAAGATGATAGGGAAAAAACAAAGCATTATGACCTTTGGTTTCGTAGCTATTTAATGTTATTGTCATAGTGATGAAGTGACTGTATGTCACTTTAAATCTTTTTTCTTTAAAAATATTAAGATTTATATGCTGTAAAGGTACTTGGCTGTTATGGTACATAATGATACTTATCTTTTTAACATTATAAGTTTTTGCATCTTGCTGTGGGATTTAAGTATTATTGGAATAAGCCATCAAATTTGCTTTGTTTTTAAATCTCCTGCTATTGAAGAATGAGAAAGTACAGTGCACACATGTACAAGCATGCTTTATTCTTTTTCTTAATCTTTGTTTTCAGAAATGTGAATAATCTATAATATGGGAAAATTAGCATAAGATCTGTGGTTTCTTTGCAAATATGTACAATATTTTTTTTATTACCAGAGGTAGTGCGAGTCTCAATCCTCAATTTTCTGTCTATATCACTTTTCAAATAAAAGTATTTTGCCGTCAAATGTTATTACCATCTCTCTCTCTCTCTCTCTTTTTTTTTTTAAAGAAATTATATAAGCAATATAAAAAGTATGTATGGAAAAAAAATAAACTGTTAAAAAATGAACCACAAAATACTATATGAAATTCACTAAAGACTAATTAAAAAGTAATTGATCAAAGTTCTGTTACAGTATCCATACTATAATGCAGTGGCAAACCTACAACTAACGAGATTCAAGTGAAAATCTCTTTGGGGCTCCTTTCATGGCTCATTGTTGGTTGTAATCAACTTTGAAACACTTCTTTCCCAGAAGCAACTGAAATGACACTGTCAAAAAGTCTTTATTGACAAATATAGGTTAGGACCTAACTTTAAAACTTTAACATTTGCAATGCAGACCACATTTTAGCTTCATCCATTTCAACTTTTCTGCTTGAAGTTGACGTCTTAACCGTTTAATTTCTGATAAAATTTCATTTTCTTCTATCTCATTTGAAGCTTCTTAGAGGCTTGAAATCATTTTTCAATTTCTGTTTTGATAAGGTGCAGTGACTGAACGGCTGCAAATTTTTTATATATTTTTTGCACCAAACATCACATATATAAGCACATATATGTGGCACATTTTTATCTTCCCAGAATAGAAAATTACTTTTTTATGTTCCGACATCTGAGTTTATATACTTATTTTAAGAGCTTCCCAAACTATTGATATTTATCATAAGTTGGCAAACGTTATCAACATAATCAATGTATCAAAAGAAAACATACTTTATCGATTTAAAATACAAATTTGGATTATTAAATAAGGATTAAGTGATACATTAAAAAATAAAACAAACACATTTTTTGCAAAAGCCTTCTGCAGTTTTTACCCACTGGACTTCCCTTGTACATAGCAATTTGTTTTTGCTTTAAAAAACATCAGAAAATGTCACAAACTCAGCATCGTGTGCAAGCTTGGCATTGCTCAATGACTATCTGCTAAAGAGTTCTCATCATTGTTCCTTTTAGTGATTTTTGCCATAAAATACTGTATTCTTACAGAAATTTTACTGCAGTTTCATTCACTGTTGGCAAATTCCACAAGTGCTTATTTTAAAATTGAGTTTAAGGTAAAATATATCAAGAATTATTTATAAAAACTGTTAGAACTTCAAATACAAAAGGATGTATACAAAAATGGCAATGTTGCTTGACTGAAGGATTCTGTAAGCATGGATGCCACTGTCTGACACATTTCGAAAGTTAGGCGACGTCTACTAAGGTGGTTATGATAATCTATGATAACCCCAAAATTTTTAAGGTAGCAAAAAGTAGCACTGTAGAGACATTAGGTATTTTTTTGAAAGCAGACAAGATGAAAAATTAGCAACCACCTTCGCCGGGAATCGAACCACGGACCTCTGGAATACCGGCCCAGCGTGCAGAACCACTACACCACGAAGGACGCTAGGAAAGTGGGAGAAATACCTTATAGCACAAGGAAATGAAATAGCAGAAAATTTCCAAAATTGAAATGCCATAAATTATAGTAGTGCAAGTTTTTTGAAAGTAGCAAATTTTTGAAAACTTAGAAGATTTGGGCAACATTGTGGACCAGTCAATATGCTGCACACATTCATTTTAATTAATTTAATGGTTTTGTACAACTAGTATATTAAGTTTCTATTTTGTTTAAATCTGTAAAAAAATAGAAAGCATGTAATTAAATTTACAGTAGTAGTTATTTTACATAAAAAGAAAAACGAGCAAAGTTGGATACTGGAATTTATCTGTGACAAACTTGTTTTGCCTTGTAATGGCTATACTCTTTGTAATTGTTTTTGTATAATTTTCAGTGACTTTGGATCATTAAGCCCTGAACTGTATTTTGTTGTAAAATCTACTGCTGCAACCGTTATCTGTACTGGTGTTTTAGGAGGCTTTATCAATATGCAAATAGCAAAGAACGATTTCTTTCGGAGAAATGTTGCTTCCACATTTGAAAGTCAGTATTTAGCGAAGGTAAGTTAAAATTTTTTACTTATATATTTGTGTAACTAGCTTGGTGCAGTCTCACAAATTGGTAAAGTTGCTTATCAGATGCAAGCTGGCAATTTTCGTGGTGGTGGTGGGTGGACTTTGCAAAATTGGTCGATATTTATCGGCAAACAATTATCAACATATCAAAAGTAAACTATTTTAGCAATTTAAAATAGAAATTTCAATTATTAATAGGGATTATATGATCTTCTATTAAAAGTAATGAAAAATCTGTGTCTATGTGTGCATGTATTTTTCTTGCATAGTGAAAAAAAGGTGGTACTCAGAGCCACCAAATTTTGAGCATATGTAGTCTGCATCTGAACATACATACACTGAAGCCTTGAATTTGTGTTTTATTTATTTTATATCTTGTATGAATGTAATGAACTTTTGATTAAAATCTTAGTGATATGAAAATTACGTGTTACTATTTGGCAAAGTGTAAGATATTAGTATTTCAGATTTAATCAGGAAACTGAGCAGTATAAAAGAAATGTGCTGCCATTTGGCAAAGTGGAAGATATTTGTCATTTGATTTAGTGAGAAAACTTAATGATTTAAAAGAAATGTGTTGCATTTGCCCAAATTAAAATATTTAAATCTTCCATTCAGCAGTGTTTTGTTGTTCAACAAAGCATGTTTTCCTTTCAGATTTCTCTGTTAATAATAATCTAAGTGATTTAAAAGCCATAAATGCAGATTCATTTAAATTATTATTAATTACTAGCTGGACCAATGTAATGACATTAATCGTATTCATTGATTTCATTGTATAGTTTTTTTCTTTTTATAATAACTACTTTAGGTGGGTAGTTGTTTGAGCTGCTAGTGCATTAAAGAATAAAATACATTTTTCATCAAATTCCCGTCTAGATTTTCTATGTTTTTATTTTGCCTATGTGCACAGTGATCTGTTTTTGCTTGAAAAAAAAAAAAAAAAAATCGGAGAATTACACAAATTTGAGTCTGCATATCAACTATCTACCAGATAATCCCATTATTGCATACAGGACTTTCAGTCTTATTTGCAGTAAAATCTATTCACATACACCCCTGCAACACAGATGTTATCAACTTTTGTTCCAAATATGCAGTTTTAAGAATGACAAACAGCATTAAAAAACAGATAATGTATGTCAAAGAGTGAAATATTCCACAATACCTTTTGTTCGGTTTAAACAAAAGGGGTAACACTGGTCGTTAAAACTGAAGAATTGTCATGCTATGCGGTTGCCCAAACAATTGTTATGTGCGAGGTTGCCTCAGTTTGAGAAACCATCAATCTTCTGATTTTTATTCTATCCAATTGAAATGCAAGAGTGATGCATAAATAAATTGATATATATATGTACTTATTGCAACCACCTTGGTAGAAATTGACAATTAGATTTTTTTTTTTTTTTTTTTTTCCTTTGGTTCAGTTTTACAGTAAAGCTTTTGGAATTCGTCAGCAATGGAAAAATGCAAGTATTGACTGCAAAATTGCTAAAGAGAATAATGATAAGATGTCTTTGGTAGAGAGCCAAAAGTTTTTGTAATTGTCTCACCTTTTAAGTAAAAACAGAACACAGTGTGAATAGAGAGAACAGCACTAAAAAATTTAAAATGGATTTCATGAAAAAAGGTTGAGTTTTATTTTTTAATCTGTCATATAATTTTTATTTGATAATTAAAATTTATATTAATTTTTTGATACATTGATAATGTTTGCTGACTATATAGAAATATTGATAGTTTAGGAATATTAAAAAAAGGGGGGGGGAATCAACAACTTGCACCCAGTTAGTAATTTTTATCTTTTCATCTTTAAAAAATCACCAGATTGCTCCAAAGTGGTTGTGTAAATGTGTAAGTATCGATAAAACATTCAGCTGATCTTTGGAATGTGATCACAAGTGATTTGGCACTTTTGTACCATAAAAACTGCTAGTTGAGAGCTTGAAGATGATCAGTAATAATTTGAAAATTTCAAGTTTTATATACAACAGCCTATGCAAAATAAGTTCCATGTTTTAAGTGACTAAGAAATTTATTTTCAACCACTTTTATTAACTAAATAAAATGCACCCTATAATTTAAATTATATTTAATTTTTAAAATTTTGTATTATTAATTTCATAGTTTTTTTTTCTTTTAAGATTTCATAGTTATTAGAGATAGTTAGTAGAGAACAAAATAGAATGTTGTGTTTTTTAACCTAACATATTTTACAGTTTATTTAATAATTTTATATGTACATGTGATGTACCAGCTTTAGTCGTAGCTTAAATTATCAGACAATAGTTTTAAAAAATAGGATCCATTTATTATTATTCAGGAGAAATAGCAGTTACAAAATCAGATATCTGGAGTAAATAAAAAAGAATTACTAATAACTTTTTGTATGAAGTTTACTGCATCGTGACATTTAAGAAAAAGCCCCGATATTCCTTTTGCGAGTCCTTTTATAGCCTCTGGAAAGGCGGAGCTTCCAAGAAATGATGTCAGCCTCGTCAGCGAATCCAGTTCGCTTTAAATATTTTTAGAACATTCTATAACTGTACGTGTAGAAAAGGTAGGAAAAACAACTTGACTACGGGGCTGTGGACTTAATTCCACATACTTTCAAATAAGAGAACGTCACCATTAAAAATGAATAGAACATACAGTTAGAAAATTAAGTGTAATTTTGACTATGGAATTTTATTATTACAAATATATATATTTCATCCTTCAAAAGGGATATATGGAGAAATAAATATTTACAAATATCTGTAGAATAAATAAATATATTGTTTTCATTATTCTGAAATCAAAGATTCACCATAACTTCTTGCATTTGTGTTCAGAATGATTTATGTTAAAAATAATTTAAATGCTACATATATAAATTTGTTCTAGAGGAAACAGATTTCTATATAATAAACACAGGAATATTTGTTTCACTATTTCAGCGACAATTTTAACCAGTATTCATTTTGAAACATGTAGCACATATCTTTTACAATTTTTCACTATTTAAAGGTAAACATTTTTTTTTCTTTGTTTTTGTTTGGTGCTAAAATATACTTAAAAACAAATTGGAAAAATTCTAAAATAATTTGGCTCAAAATCAGAACAGGAAAAAAATGACATTTTCCCAAAAAGGTGAGTAATTTTTTCTGCAATTTCAACAGATAGGCATACATTTTAGCACTTACTTTTTCATCTCTGTTTGAAAAGTAAAACATTTTTATTGACCTGAAGCAGTAAGAAAATGGAAAAATGTAATTTGGCAGGGAATCAAAGCAAGGAGGGGAAGAGAGAGAAAGAAAAAAAAAAAAAAAAATGGGTTGACATTGGAATCAAATTTTTGTTAAGTAACTATAAACTAAAGTTTCACCAGTGCTGCATTATGGGTCCTTGAAAAGATGAGTGTGCTGGGACTTTTACAGAAACCACTCTTGGAAATGAAATGTAAATCAATTAACTTGGGGCTCTATTCTCACGGGTCTCCTATGCTAGTGCCCAATGGGCTCATCCATTAACCCTCCGACTGCTCAATTTGTGGACCAAAATCGCTTCCAAAAGTGTGGGTTTTTTTTCCTATTTTAAATTTATATATATTGGAGAATATAAAAATGCACTTTTTCTTTCTAGAAAATATTTTTTATATAGATTTTTATCATGAGAAACTAAGTTGCCAGAAAAACCAATTTCAGATGTTATCACCCCCCCCCCCCCAAATTTTTTTTTTTTTAATAAATTTCAGTCAAATTACAGTTAATTTCTATTTATTGCATAATATAAAAAAGTAAAATATATAAAATTTAAGAAAATATAAAGCGCTGAGGGAAAAATATCTTAGAAATGCAATTTAGTAGAGTTCAAACAGGGTTCAAGGCAAAGTCCAACTTCACAGTCTTTGCACCAGATTCGATAAATCTAATTAATAATTCAATAATTTAATTAAATAATCAAGATAATCTCGGAATGTTTACCATCAGCCATTTCTGTAAGAAAAATGTGGCAAAAAGTGAAGTTTTAATAGTAATACCATGTGCCTTCAAATGCCGCAATGTAGTGGACAACTAACGATATCTGTTGACCAAAACATTAACTAAACGTCTAATACTGTATATAATTTATTTCAATGGTTAAACAGGGAAAAACGGGATGCGCTCCTCAATAAAGGAAGAAAAACATATGCCCACAGAAATCACGGGATGAGCAAATTTTGCTACATTTGAGTTGCTTGTGGAAATCGCGGAATAATCAGCCAGAGGGTTAAGACAGCCTTGAGCTTCACCAGACATCATTCTTCACAATATTTAGGAATTGTTTTTATCCTCAACTACATATCATTTAATTGTACATAGTCTGGAACACATAAATATTATTAAATCTTCCATTAAAAATAAATTCGCAAATGATAAAAATATAAATTAAGTATGCAGCTATTAATTTTTTGTTTCTTATTGACTCCTGTTGAAATACTAGACTATGGTAGAACCTTGTTTCACAAACGCCTTGGATCAGGAACAGATTTTTCAAATGAAAAGGGTCTTGTATGACAAACAATGTCTCGAGATATAAACAGTGAGCCAGAAATAATTGATACTTCAGTATGCATTTAATTCAGGGAAGGAAATGTCATTTGAAGAAAAAGATGAAAAGATGTTCCTTCTTAACTAATATGTGAAATTTGTGCTGAATGGGGTAAGCTGCAAAAGTTTGTAGAACATTATCACTTTAAGCTGTAGCATAAGGATTTCCAATGACAATGCCATGTTTTGCTTTAGGAGCGTTTCAAAAGATAGAAATAAATCACAGTGGCAAATTTTTAATGTGTCAAAGCCTCAGCGATTCTCAGATGAGAAGTTAGGTGTGGTGTCAAGAGAAAAATAAAATCCAGAGACACAATAGCTACCTGACACTTTTTGCAGTGTAGGTTTTCCGTTTCAAACAATGCCATTTTGCACCTTTGGCTTCTTCACCATTTTCTCCTTACACTGTTAACT